CCACCTACACACTGCCACCATCAACACCCCACACTGCCATCAACACCCCACATTACCACCTACACACTACACTACCATCAACACCCCACACTGCCATCAACACCCCACATTACCACCTACACACTACACTACCATCAACACCCCACACTGCCATCAACACCCCACACTGCCACCAACACCCCACACTACCATCAACATTCACACTGCCATCAACACCCTACACTACCATCAACACCCCACACTGACACCTACACCCCACACTGCCTTCAACACCCCACGCTACAACCTACACCCCACACTGCCATCAACACCCCACACTGCCATCAACACCCCACACTACCATCAACACCCCACACTACCACCTACACACTACACTGCCATCAACACCCCACACTGCCATCAACACCCCACACTACCATCAACACCCCACACTACCACCTACACACTACACTGCCATCAACACCCCCACACTGCCATCAACACCTCACACTACCATCAACACCCCACACTGCCATCAACACCCTACACTACCATCAACACTCCACACTGACACCTACACCCCACACCGCCATCAACACCCCACACTACCACCTACACCCCACACTGCCATCAACACCCCACACTGCCATCAACACCCTACACTACCATCAACACTCCACACTGACACCTACACCCCACACCGCCATCAACACCCCACACTACCACCTACACCCCACACTGCCATCAACACCCCACACTGCCATCAACACCCTACACTACCATCAACACTCCACACTGACACCTACACCCCACACCGCCATCAACACCCCACACTACCACCTACACCCCACACTGCCATCAACACCCCACACTGCCATCAACACCCTACACTACCATCAACACTCCACACTGACACCTACACCCCACACCGCCATCAACACCCCACACTACCACCTACACCCCACACTGCCATCAACACCCCACACTGCCATCAACACCCTACACTACCATCAACACTCCACACTGACACCTACACCCCACACTGCCATCAACACCCCACACTACCACCTACACCCCACACTGCCATCAACACCCCACACTGCCATCAACACCCTACACTACCATCAACACCCCACACTGCCATCAACACCCCACACTGCCATCAACACCCCACACTACCATCAACACCCCACACTGCCATCAACACCCCACACTGCCATCAACACCCCACACTACCATCAACACCCCACACTGCCAT